ACATGTTAACATACAGAGAGAGAAATTTCTGTTCTGAATTAGGAATATTATTGTTCAAGTAATATAGGGTAATTTAAGAGCCTCTTTATACTTAAAAGGAGTGTTTACAACATTTTACATTTTACAGATACGTAAGGCAATAGATTGTGTGAAAAAATAACGAATCACAGTGATAGACTTTCTAGTGATATATCATTTTCATTGAAAATTGCAATACTGCCTTAAATTCAAGATTCTTAATGAATTTTTTTTTTTTTTGTTCTCTGACAGGTTTATTAGCTTTCATGTTAATGTATGTTTTTAAACCCTGCAACCTTTTGTCAACTTCTTTCCACATCAAGAGGCCATGAGGTACAGTAATGTGGCTTGACTCAAGCCACATAAAGATGGTGACTTGATGCCCTAGCCTGCCTCCTGTAACAATGTGAGGCTGTTTTGGGTACATGCTGTAATAACAACACGACTATCATAGGAACAATGAAGCAGAGAAGCAGAAGGTGCCTACACAGTTTTACCTAAACATCTTGTTTGTTAGGATGGAGCTGACGCGCCCATACTGGCAGTCAGGAACAATTAGCACAGAGTAGTTCTGAAAAGGAGGAAGAATTCACAAAGCATCAGTTATGGGTGCAGGGAAGTCGCCATCTGCCAACGGGCACCGGAGTGTCACTGCACTGGAAGGGGAAAACGAGTGGGCTGGATGAGATCCAGGGGCCTCTCTGCCCACGTTCAAAGTCAGTAGCTGCTCTGCCTGCCGGCATCACAGTGTCAACACATTTTGTGTGTGTCTCACTCAGTCTCACACCCAAGAAAGTAAAAACAATTGACGTAGGAACAAGGGGAATGGATAAAGAATGGTACACGCTTATTCTAAAGCAGGAGAGCCTACAGATTGTCATCAAAGCTCATATCTTATCTCTTTCCTAGAGGCCTCCAAACCATCTCCCTCTCCCTCCTCCAGAATCCAAGGGATGAACCCGTTTCCCTTTATGAGACAAGGTGGAGCAGCACCTCTAGTTTTTGGCTGCTCATGGCCTCAGAGTTGCTTTTTGGAAAGGAAAAAGAGCAGCAGGGGCAGCAAAGAAAAGTATTAGGGCAGCACCTTTAGGTTAGAAATAGATTCCACAGTGAAAAGCACAAGTATAATGTGCATTAAACAGAGAAGGGCCTCAGTAGAACAGTCACAATATGCAAGTGTGTCCCACTCGTTTACAATATCAGGATTCCAGGAGCTGCCAGAAATAAGTCATCTCCTTAACATACCTACCCACAGTTCTGATGTCTGGCTATGAGTAAACAAGGCCTACGTTTGTTTCTCTAAAATTTAGAATCTTAAACTAAATCCTTTATTTCAAAAACAAACATAAAATAATTTCCCAGGCAGAGAAAAGGTCTGAGATGGAAGCTTTCTTGTTAGCAGTCCCTTCCTGCATAAATGGGGTTGGATAAAGAGGGGAGAGAGAATGGCCAAGGGTACGGAAAGCTTTCACAATGCATGCCGAGTGTGAAGTGACACCCCCATCAGATGGGGTTTATCATCTTTACTTAGTCACACAACATCAAGGACTGGTTAGTTCCAGGGAAGGGCTCCATTTCATCACCTGGGTCAGTTCTCTTCCCCCGCATGCTCCACAATGCAGTAGAACCAAACAACACGTTCACCTACAATAGAATGTTTAAATAACACCTGTCCAATAACTGCCCTTACTTCTTTGTGCTGTCAGGAAAAGAAAAAAACAGAAAGCAATAAAACCCAAACCCTTTGGCAAGCGAGCCGGTGCCTATTCTCCTAGGGCATTTTTAGTGGAACTTTGGCTGGGCCTTGCCCTCCTCCCAATATCAGTGAGGAAAGTGGCAGCAGGACAGGTTTGCTCATGTACACTGCAGTAGAAAGAGAAACCAAACACAATTCGGGCCACAGGTGGATTCTGGCACATTTTTAGATTGGATTGGTTAAAAATGTCATGTTGTGCACAGGATGCAGGCAAAGGAGTTTTTTTTGAGGGATGTAATGCCCGAAGGCAGCATGAACGGTCCAATCTACCCTTGGGGAGGAGCTCCCTGTGTAAGGACAGAGAAACTAGGGGGCCTCGAGGAAAGTGTTGGTTCTGAAGATGGAGGAGACAATCTTTCCGGTGGCATTGATGGTGCCTTCGCTGTCTGAGCTGGACTCGGAGTCGCTGCTCCCAGAGTAGGCGCCCAGGCCCGGGAGGATGCCGATACAGACTGCAGCAGAGGGGCAGTGGATGGAGGGGCCACTCAGGGAAGTGTTTCCGAGAGACTTGCAGGATGAGGGCTCTTGATTCTTGTCATCTGGCTCAGGGTCCGGTTTCAGTCTTTTCACACTGTGGCCACTCTCTGAGCTCTTATGCTTCACAGCTCCTGCCAACAGCTTTGCCTGGGAGAACTTGTTCTTGGTTTCTATGGGCTTCACACTCAGTTTCTTTTCCACTTCCTTCTTGTTCTCTTGAGAAATTCCAACCTTCTTGAGGTTATTTCTGTATTCCTTCAGTTCTTTCAGTTCTTCTTCTCTTCGTTGCTTTTCTATTAGTTCCTGCCGTCGAGAAACCTCATCAAGGAAGTTGGTCTCATCTTCATCTAAGCCTCTTACCATGTTTTTGAATTTGAACTGTTCCTCATACTCCTGCTGCTTCCTGTCCTTCTGTTCCTGTAGTCTTTCATACAGAGAGCGAGGGTCATAAACCTCCTCTGGACATTCTTCTGGATCTTCAGGTTTTCGAACTTTCTCCCATTCTTCTTGCCTCCTTTTGCGCCGTTCATCTAGTTCCGCCTCAGACACAAATCTCTTTTTGATAACAAGGTTACCATCATCCCCTCCATCCATAATGAAACAACCAATCTACCGGCGCGCGGGAGGCGAGACGCCCTCACCTCGGCGGCGCCTACCCCAAACCGCCACCGCAGAGCCGCTCGCTCTTAAAAAAGAAAAAAAAAATGAGAGGAAGAAAGAAAGAAACAGGAAGGAACGAATGAAAGAAGAAAAAAAAAAAAATAGCCTTTGCTTTTGTATTCCTTTTGACCCTTCAGGGCTTCCTGTTCCTCACCGCCACAATAGAGTCCAAATTCAAGATTCTTAAGGAATGCTTTATAAAATTAGCATTTTAAAGAACCGAGTTTGTGTAAGACAAAATACGACACATTTTTATTGTTATTCATTTTCCCGTAAATCAAATATTTATATTAAATAATAAATAGAACTAATTCTTCATTAAACACCTTTTTGGAGTAATCCTTCAAAACTAGCAATAAGATGGCTATGGTATTAGGGTCGTTATATTTTGTATGTTTTTTCCTTTCCATTTCTGCTACTTCTGACTCTTTTTATTGTTGTGATTAATTAGGAGTCCGATATTTGTAAAACCAGGAACCTAATTAGAATTGGTCAACATGAAAATAAAAAAAGTGAAATACACAAATTTATAAAATGTGAAAAAAGGATTAAAAAATTAAATAGTTCTATATGAGACATTTATTCTAATTCTGCCTCTTAGCTACAGTTTGATATCATTGACCCAGATTATTATCATGGATTTCACCAAGTAAACGTCAATACTATTTTTACTCAATTATCTTTTTCAACCCTGTACATAAATATTATTTGGTACATTTATCAGAAGATATTCTGACCAAGATTTCCTTTGAAATCTTACCTAGAAAGGCATTTGTTTGTTCGTGTTCCTTGGCAACATGACTTTGTGTTAAATTACCAAAGACTACATAGTAATACAAAGCAATTTTTAAATTGTTTACCTGGCCACAGTTTTTTTCTGAACTATGTCTATCTTTGTGAAGGGATTTGATGTAGGTACCACTTTTCAGGAGCAGTTCAACAAAATGTTAGGCACATCTCTGAAAAATGAAGAATAGTTCAGTTTTTTCCCTATCTAATGATCAGCCATGTGGTAGATTGGCATTACTGAGTTGTGACCATTTTCACATGGAAGCCCAGGAAAATGGCAGTTATAGGTAAATTTTATGCTAAGACATAAAACTGTGGATCCAGTTCTTGCTCTTCTTACACAGAGTATCTCCATTTGAACTGCGGGTTCAGGGTTACAGCTGCACCACATCCAGGCTGGTGGAGACTCAGGATTCACCCAGAGTTGACAAGAAACTGGAAGTCCTGACAGGACCTGATTCCTCATGACCAAGGAGACTGTGTGGGAAGAGTTTCCCTGAACAGCACACAAAAAAACGTAATGCAAAGTTATTTCTTGTTTGTTCTGTATCATTATCCTAGGAAATTCTTCTCTTAATAAATCCCTCTGGTTAATCTCACATATGTGAGATAATTATGATGAGACATATACCAGATTGCTATAATTGGTCACCATCAATTTTTTATTCACTGCCTGAGGCATGGAATTCTTTCCTCTTACTTAAGTTGCATTATGTGCTTTCTAAATGCAAGAGACACATATCATCCTCTAGGTAAATGCCTTCGAGAGAGCACTCTTATGTAGATAAATCACCAGGTACCAGGGGAAGGCAGATTCTAACATTTGCATCTAACGTTTTTGAACAGTTATCCTGGTAACAGCAGATTCCAGATAACTCTTGAGCTGACAGAAGTCTTCCTTTTTATTTGGAAGCACATTGCTCTGCAGTGCTTGTGAGAAAGCAAGCTCTTTTCTTCTCTACATGAGCTGGGCGAGAGCCAAGCAGGATGGCATTCACCTCCCAGAGATTCATCCTAAACACACATTTTTACATTGTCATGATCTTGGTGCTCTCTCAGAGTGGCACACCTATGTGTCTTTGTTCATGATCCAAATTTCACAGTTAGATCTTCTTTCCACGACTATAGGCAAAATGGATTTTAGCTCTATTTGTTTTTCTCCAAGGAACATTTTATATCACATTGCTCACAAGAAAGACCTGCCCCAACCACTGGCTCTTTCCACATCACTACACCCACCAGGGCATTTGCATGTTGTTTCCTGGGGGGAAACTTCCCTTGCAGTCAGATAAGATAAGAGCTCAGCTCTAACTTCGTAGTTACAGATCAGAACTGCTCAGTTCACCTTCTCAAGATGAGGTTCCCTGCTCAGCTCTTGGGGCTGTTAATGCTCTGGGTCCCTGGTAAGGACAGAAGGAGAGAAGGGAGGAGAATGGGGTGAGAGGGTGTGCTCTTGGAGGCTCCGCAGTCTCTCAGGTTTATTCAAACCGTATGTTAAGGAGTATGTTCTAATTTTCAGGGAAGGGAATTTATACTTTTTCCTATGAATAATTAGAAACCATCTCAAAAGAACAATGACCAGTGCTCTAAGATCTTAGAAAATAAAAAAGTTCCTTGTGCGTATTTTCGTATAATTTAGAAAGTCTATTATTTATGATATGAATAAAATTTGAAAAAAGATTAATCATTAATATCATAACAGAATTCATGAAAGTTGCTCATAATATTTGTAGCTTATCTTGTACTTCTTTCTCATTGTTTTAGGATCAAGTGGGGATATTGTGATGACCCAGACTCCACTCTCCCTGCCAGTCACCCCTGGAGAGCCGGCCTCCATCTCCTGCAGGTCTAGTCAGAGCCTCCTGCATAGTGATGGAAGAACCTATTTGTATTGGTACCTGCAGAAGCCAGGGCAGCCTCCACGGCTCCTAATTTATACAGTTTCCAACCGGTTCTCTGGGGTGCCAGACAGGTTCAGTGGCAGTGGATCAGGCACAGATTTCACACTGAAAATCAGCCGGGTGGAGGCTGAGGATGTTGGGGTTTATTACTGCATGCAAGCTTTACAAAATCCTCCCACGTTGATACAGCCCTTAACAGAAACCTCCCTGTTTGCATGGCCCAGCTGCCCACATGTACTGCTTGTCTGGGGAGCAGCTCAGCAGGGTCTCTGAGTCTGCAGAGAGGAGGCTGTTGGAGAACTCAGGGCAGAGCTTGCTGCTGAGGACTCTGGCCCATGAGAGCCTCAGCTGTGCCTCAGTGTCACATGGCAGCGCTCAATCAGCTGTCACAGCATGAGGATGGCATCAGCAGTAGAACTATTCAGATGTTTCAAGTGTCCTAGAAGCAAACAGCTCTGATGGAGGGAGAGTGAATGAAAGTTCATCCTCACCCTCCCTGTCTGGCCCACACGTGTCAAGTACATTTATTTGGCAGAACAACCAGACAATGGAAGCAAATTAGTGCCAACTCAAGTAGAATATGTGTTGGAAATAAACAGTTCGAAGTTGAGTTTATTCAAGTTAATACTTGGTAATATGGGAAAAGTATTACTTTCTCACTTTCCGAACATACTATTCTCCTTTATCACTTAACTAAACTGCCCTTTTCATTAACATGTTCGAGAACGCATTCTATGCAAGCTGCCCTCAGGGAAGTATGGCTAAGAATAGTCAGCAAATATGTTTGATTGACTATTCATAGACTTTGTAGACCCACTGCGTATATAAAATCCTCATGCCAAATATCTTAAATTTGATTCAGTTACCATTTGTTCAGTGAAAAGGAAGTTCTTGCAGTTACAAAAGTGAACTCTGAAAACAAAGAAATCATAAACTGGAAGATGGAGAACAGAAAGTTTACTTCATTTACTACAAGAGAAATGTAGAATGAATACAATATGTCAGCAATTAGGTTGCTGTTGTATTTCCCTGATGTGAATTGTAGGATCTCAGGCCTGTGGTCTTATTTAACTACAGAAAAGCCTTTCAAGTGTGGACACTCGTTACTTTCCGGAGTATCTGGAATGATCTACGGTAGAGAAGCTACTAAAAATTACATTAAAAAAGAAAAAGATGGCTGTTTTTGATGATGGGTGACTAGAGGTAGCCAGGAAGAGCTGCTCCCACTGAGAGAAACCAGACCATCAAGTGGACCAGCGCACTCTAGACAGATCTTTGGGAAGAAGACTTTTAAAGTGGAAACAGGGAGGACACATCCTGGGCTGGAAGGGGAGGAAGCTGGGAACCCTGTGCGGGGTTTCTGAATACCAGGACTCCTCCTGACCCTTAGTGGCCCCTAGGGAAGGGGTAAGTGAAACAGGCATGGAGCATCCCACACTTGCCATAGAACTCCATAATCCTAGCTCTGGAAAAACCTATGACCCCCGCAGACATTTGAGTTGGCAAGTAGAACTGCCTGTAGACTGGGCAGAGAGAGAACTTCAGTCCTGCAGAGAGTACAGAGGGTTTGGAGTGGGAGAGGCTGAAGTGGAGCATGGCCATGGGCACCAGCCCCCCAAGGCCTGGCTAATTTTTTGTATTTTTGGTAACAGTGTTTCACCATGTTAGCCAGGATGATCTCGATCTCTCGACCTCGTGATCTGTCCGCCATGCCCTCCCAAAGTGCTGGGATTACAGGCATGAGCCATGGCGCCCAGCCCCAAAGAAGATTTTTAGCCATTCAGAGAATGCTTGCTTTTCATATCACAGAAAACTTCACCCACATCTGTTAGCAGTAGGTAAGATAAGCCCCAGGTTATGAAAATTGCAAACCACTTCTGCCCTCTGGATACCTCAGACCCAGAGTAAGCTGTTGTCTGGCTACCCCTAGACACAGAAGCCCTTTCTCCAATGTTCCTTCACCTTAGGAGTTCCCTTGGTCTCCACCTTTTCTGAGTAGCAACCCCAACATCTTTGATTCTAGACAGTCTCCTGCTGTGAGGGACTCCTTTGGGCAAATCTCTCAAAGCTTCACCCAACAGTCATGTGTGCTGCTGCCACCCTACGGACATTGTTTTCTCTTTGATCAGAACCCCAATTTCTCAAACTCTCTGTGAACAGAGCCACACTGTCCACCCGACAAACGGACTCCGGCGTAATGGACTCAGTTCCACTTCTGAGACTGACTTCCCAAGTCATACAAATAATACACTTGTCTTCAATTTTACGGACTCCAAACTAACAGCATCTGGCAAGTGACATGCAGTAAACTCCACCTGTTTGAGTCCTTCCTCATTCAAGTGATCATGGTCCAGATGAGAGAAATACAGAGGCCCGCTCCACTTCTGGATCAAATGGAGGCTGTTCATCTACCTTTTTATCTGTGTCCCCGTGGAGTGACTAGCTTTGTCTGCTGTTGTGAAGCCTCTGCATATTCTACTAACATTCAGGAGACAGATTCCTGTTTAGAATGAAGAATATTATTCTTTAAGTTTAACAGTATAGGGCAATTTCAAGGCCTTTAGTATAGGGTGACTTCAGAACCTTTTTATTACTGAAAAAATTTTTTACAAGCTTTTACATTTTCAAATATGTAATGACAAGAGATTATGAGATAAAACAACCAATCCCAATGGTAACCTTTTTAAAGCTTTGTCATTAATTTTCAAAGGAAGCCACAGTACTCTCTGAAATTCAGCACCCTAAAGAATACTTTGTAAAACTAAGATTTGAAGAATTGGCTCATAGTAAAAGCAAGCCTGATAGATTTATTACTGTAATTCATTTTCCCACAGTGCAAGTTTCTATATTGGATAGTGGGTGGAACTGATTATTCATTTAACACCTTTTCAGACTAATCCGTTTATACCAGTGATAAGATGTACCTTAATGTTCTCTTTTAGATTGTGTGTTTCTTTTGTGTGTTTACTTTTATTTTTCTTTTCAGTATCTGATGTTTCTAACCCTTTTAAATATTATGATGAATTAGGAGTTTGACATGTTCAGGGCTAAGAACCATATTTGATCTGATCAGCATCACAAGGAAGAAGAAGTCAATGCCAGGCACAGTGGCTCACTCCTGTAATCCCAGCACTTTGGGAGGCCAAGGCAGGTGGATCGCTTGAGGCCAGGAGTTCGAGACCAGCCTGGCCAACATGTGGAAACCTCTTCTCTACTAAAACTACAAAAATTAGTTGGGCATGGTGGAGAGTGCCTGTAGTCCCATCTACTCCAAAGGCATGAGAACTGCTTGAACCAGGGAGCCCGGGAGGCGGGGTTGCTGTGAGTGGAGATTGCACCACTACACTCCAGCCTGAGTAACAGAGCAAAATCGATACCCCCCCCCCAAAAAAAACCACTCAAATATATAAGATTTACAAAAAGTAATCGAAGAAAAGAATAAATAAAAATTTAAATAGTGAAAAATGATACATTTATTCTGATCCTACTTTCACATTACAATTTGATGTTCTCAATTTAGGTTACTGCCATGAAGTTCAACATTTTAAAGTCAATATCATTTTTACTCAATTTTTTTCACCAACTATGTTAAAACATCTTATGCCAGTGCATTTCTCAGAGGATAATCGGACAAGCTTTGTGTGGAATAATAATACCTAGAGCTCTGTTTGGTTTTTCTGGGTGTGTGTTCCTTACCAAGTAAATCAGGCATTGTATTAAATCATTGAAGATCACATAGCACTAGAAACTACTTTTTTAATCGCTCCCAGGATTTTTGTTTTTTTCAGGACAGTGACAGTCCTTGTGACATGATTTGATGGATGCACCATTATACAGTAGCTGCTAAATTCAATAGTAAGCACATCACTGACAAATGAGGAATACTCAGGTTGTTTTCCTATTGTAACGATCCGCTGTGTGGTAGATTCATATCCCTGAGCTGTGATCATCTTTCAGTGAAAACCTAGGAAAATGTCATCCATAGTACTGCCAACCCTGAGACTTAAAACTGTGGATTCAGTTCTTGCTTTTCCTACATAGAGAATCTCCTTTTGAACAGTGGTCTCATAGCTGTAGCTGTGCCACATACAGGTCCGGGGGGAGGCACGGGTTCACACTCAGAGTTGGCAAAAATTTGGAAGCCCTGACATCCTATAAAATGTTACTTGCCCAGAATTGAAACTTTCAAATTCAGGTCCTTCTTCCTACTCTACTGATGAATTAGATTTTCTTAGTTTCCCACCAAGGGACACTTTCTATCACATTGCTCACAGACAAGACATATCTACCCTCCTTCACCCTCACCCAGTGGCTCTTTTCACACCACTGCACCCACCAGGGCATTTGCATATTGTCCTCTAGGGAGGACCTTCCCTTGTGAGTCTGAGATAAAAACTCAACTCTAACCTTGTCTGATCAGGACTCCTCAGTTCACTTTCTCACAATGAGGCTCCCTGCTCAGCTCCTGGGGCTGCTGATGCTCTGGGTCCCTGGTAAGGATGGAAGGAGATGAGGGAGGAGAAGGGGGTGGGAGGGTGAGCTATGGTGGCCCCACTGATTCCCATGTTTATTCTAACCATGTATTTAAGGAATGTGGCCTATGATCCAGGGAGAGGAATTTATATTTTGCCCTGACAATAGAAACCTCCTAAAATCAGTGCTCTGAATAATATCTTGAGAAATGAAAGAGCTCTTGTGCCTATTTAATAAAGGGGTCATTTAAAAAGTTTGTTTTTATGATATGAATACAAGTTTGTAAAACTAAAAGATTAGCTATAAATCAATATCATAAGCCAAATCTCAAAAGTTGCACATTATGCTTTCACATAACCTTGTACTTCTCTCTCATAATTTCAGGATCCATTGGGGATGTTGTGATGACCCAGACTCCACTCTCCCTGCCCGTCACCCCTGGAGAGCCGGCCTCCATCTCCTGCAGGTCTAGTCAGAGCCTCCTGCATAGTAATGGATACACCTATTTGTATTGGTATCTGCAGAAGCCAGGCCAGTCTCCGCAGCTCCTGATTTATGGGGGTTCCAACAGAGCCTCTGGAGTGCCAGTCAGGTTCAGTGGCAGTGGGTCAGGCACTGATTTCACACTGAAAATCAGCAAGGTGGAGGCTGAGGATGTTGGGGTTTATTACTGCCTGCAAGGTATAGCGCTTCCTCCCACAGTGCTACAGACCAATACAGAAACCTCCCTGCTGGGGTGTCCCAGCTGCTCACTTGCACTGCTTGTCTGGGGGGTAGCTGGCAGGGTCTCTGAGTCTGCAGAAGAGGAGACTGTTGGAGAAGTCAGGGGCAGGGCTTGCTGTTGAGGACTCTGGCCCATGAGCGTCTCAGCAGCACCTCAGTCCCACATGGTCAAAGCTTTTTAAGTTTTCAGGCTCATCACCACCCTGCCTGTCTTGCCCACATTTGCCAATTACATTCAGTCAGCATAACAGCCAGAACATAGGTGCAGTTTAGTGACAACACAAGTGGAATCCATGTGGAAAATGATCAGCTTGGGGTTTATTTTACACAAGTTAATACTTGGTGCTAATACTTGGAATTATTGGGAAATCGGCATTTTCCCACTTTCCTTACTTTCTGTTTCACTTTACCACTCACACTAGATCATAAACAACAGAACTGTGGTTAAGAAACAGATTAAAAAAAAAAAAACTGGAGAAGGCAAAAAATCTAGGGGTTGTGTGCGTCTCCTCAACAACAAAATGATGTTTGCAGGTTTCCCCTCCTTCTTTTCCATTTTTGCTGCAAAGAAGCGATTTCACCAGCTCCCTGTCAGAGGTTACATTTGGAGTGTTTACAGACAAAAGCTTTAGGCAGTTAGTGCTGGATTCTGGGGAGGGTGGCAGGAGGGTGGGTCTGAATTCCAAACATAGAGGAGGTCAGAGTGAGTCATGGAAAGACTGTGGGTGTGGGAAGAAAAGATTTAGAACTCAGACCTTTGGCCACAACCTTAGGAACCGGAGACTGCAGAACATTTATCAAGGAACAGGAGACAGAAGAGACGCTGGATAATCTTTTGAGAGATGATGATGGAGGTCTAGGTGGAAGATGATGGAAGATGCATGGGGGTGAGGCAGTGGGGGTGAAAGTAGGGGAAGGGGTCAGATTTGAGAAAAATTTGAGATCAAGTAATCTTGGCTCCACTGCTGTTAGTTTCAATGTTCCCAGTACAGTGTGCTGTACATGCGATAAAAATCAAAATTATTTCTTATTTTTTTCATCATTATTTATTTTCATTGACACTTTCCCTCTGCCTGCTGGTGCTTAGGAAGAAGACTCCTTTTTTCCTGTTAGTTTTTTTTTTTTTTTTTAGTAACCAAGATTTTGCCTCTACTGCACATTTCACTTTCCTAATTATCCTTCTGAACAGAGATGGCCCAGGTGCTTCACTACTGAAAGTCTAAACCTCTTATCCAAATCCTTCAGTCTCGTGTTTTGGTCCTTTTCTTTCATGTTATTTTCTTGTTTCTTTGTCATCACCTTAGCAATAAAAATATCACTTTTTCTTTTTCATTTGACTCCTAGCTATCGCAGATGAGAACTTAACGAATCACACTGATGACCTTCGGAACAGGTAATAGGCTTGTAAAGTGGTATTGAGAGATCCAAATCCATGTGCTCAGGAAGCTACATGAGGAGCCAGGCTCTGTCTAGCACAGGGGCCAGTGCCTCTCCCAGAGTGCCCAATCCAGCTGACTCTGCAGAGTCCCTCTGTGTTGTTATGTCACTCACTGCCTTCTGTGAGTGAGATATTCTGATAAGGATCCTGGCGGATCCTACTGGAATCAGGGGCCACCCATACCCTCTGGGGGGCTGAGGACCACAGGCCCCTGAAGACAATCGCAGGTCTGGAGGTTCTTAGCCCATGACTGTCCTCTCTAGAGACAGCTTCTCCCAGATGGCCAAGGGCTGCCTATGGCTGTGTCCTTCCCTCTGCATGGTAATAGGAGGCAGAGCAGGTCTCTAAGCAAACCCTGAGCAAGGCCATCCTGTGTGTGTCCCTCTGAACTCTGAACTTGGACATAGGTGGTGCTGGATTCACTTAAAGAAGCAAAGCGATTTATGATCATGGGAAAAAGGGAGAGAAAAGGTTGGCAGGAGAGAGAGAGCTCACACTTGTGATGTGTGTACAAGACCAACACTGAGAGTTTAGTATTGAGTATAATCCTCAGGTTCTGTTCTATGGAGCTTATAAATGTACCTTATATGGGAAAAGTGTCTTTGTAGTTGTAAATTAAGGGTCTTGGAATGAAGAGATTCTCGTGCATTAAGCACGTGAGCTCTAAATGCAATCACAAGTGTCTTTGGAAGAGTGAGGTAGAAATAGATTTAACACAGACTGAAGAGGAGAAGGTACTGTGATTGCAGAGACAGAAACTGAAGTGATGTGGCCAGAGCCAAGGAAAGCTGCAGCCACCAGAAGCTGGAAGAAGCAAGAACAGACTGTCTCCCAGAGCCTCTAGAGGACCCAGCCCTGATTACTCCCTGATCTTGGCCTGGTGAAACCGATTCTGGAATTCTGGCCTCTAGAACTGTGAGTGATTACACTTCTGTTGTTTTATGCCATCACAGTTTTGGTAACTTGTTACAGCAGTCGAAGGACTCCGATACAAATGTGACTGTGTTAGAAAATCCATACTTGGCCAGGCCTGGTGGCTCATGCCTGATTTCCCAGCAGTTTGTGAGGCCGAGGCAGGCAGATCATTTGAGATCAAGAGTTTGAGACCAGTCTGGCCAACATGGTGAAACCCTGTCTCTACTAAAAGTACAAAAAAATTACCTTGGCATGGTGGCATGTGGCTGTAGTCCTAGCTACTCAGTAAGCTGAGGCAGGAGGAGGTTGCAGTGAGCTGAGATCATGTCATTGCACTCCAGCCTGGGCAACAGAGCGAGACTCCATCTAAACTGAAAAAAAAAAAAAAAAAAAAAAAGAAAGAAAATCCATACTAAAGGTAGTATGATGGCTTGCAATCTCGTTGTTCAACTTTCTAATGCTAGCTATAAATGGATTAGTGGGAGATTTTACAGTGGAAAGTATGCACATGAAATTTCACAGTGTATAGAGAGGTATCTGTTAGTTATAGAGTAAGTGTTGATAATTTTTAATTGAAAATGACCACTGACTAGGGATATCTTACATGACATCTTCATTCTGACTTATTCAAGGATGCATAAAAGGGGTACTAGGTATTCCCTAATATATACATGTATATATCTCTTTAATATGCGTGTGTGTGTGTATTTCATGGTGCATCACCTGGTGAACCATCATGACGTGCCATGATATTTGCAGGACCCCAGTGCACATAGGAAGGAATGGCTCATTAGAGTGCTGGGGTGAGTTGGTGGCCCAAAGTCACATGATCAGCAATTGCGGAGGCTGAGTTTCAAACCCAGGGCTTCTGACCCTAAATATGTGCCTGTTACAAGGCCACATTCATTCCATAGAGAAGTTCATGGCCTATAAAATCAGAGACAAAGCCGGATAGATGGTATGAAATTCCCCACATAAGACCCCTGTTGCTGCTACCTCTGCCCCTCACCACGCTGACCCTAAGCTTAAAACTCAGGCGCTTCTGCAGTTTCTCAAAAACTAAATGACTTTCAGCTTTGGGGGCAGAGGCACATCTTGCATGGCTCTGACCACTTCTTTATCTCCTCTGCCATCGTCATCTCTCTGATTCAATCCTTCTTCTCAGATTATGTCCTGTATATCTAATTTGTCCTCCTAATGTGAAAATAAACAAACCTATAGCTCCCCCCCCACCTTCTCGCGTGCTGTGACAGTCATCCCGCGGCTCTCAGATAGCCAGATTGTGCAAAAGCTAATTGAAAGGATTTAGTCAGAGATTTTCATCCTAAGAATAATTCTGGAGCTATCTCCTCACAGTAAAATGTTCTCTGTCTCTTGTCAAAATTGACAATAAATGATTGGAGAGTAGAAATATTTGTGAGAATAGAGGACAACCACACACTCAGAAAGATGAAAGGCATGACTTCCCCTTACATTAATTTTGTATTGTTGCTGTAACAAATTACCAATGTCTTGCTGGCTTCAAATAACACAAATTTATTATCTTATAGTAGTGGAGGTGAGAATTATCACCGAGCTAAAATCAAGGAGTCAGTAGGGCCTATTTCTTCTGGAGGATCCAGGGAGTATAATCTGATTTCCTTATTTTCATCTTCAAGATGCCCCACCTTCCTTGCTCCATGGCCCCTTCCTCCATCACTCCAGCATTCCTCTCCATTGTCCCAGCTCCTGTCTGACTGTGACCCTCCTCCCTCCACATTATAAGGACCCTTGTGACTATGCTGGCCTCACCCAGAACATCCAGGATACTCTTGATCTCAAAATTCCTCACTTAATCACATCTGCCAACTTACTTTTGTAATGTAAGGTAACATTCATAAGTTGCAGATATTAGGACATGGATTTCTTTGGTGGGATGTGTTCTTCATTTCAGCAACAACTCTCATCATCCCCACAACTATCCTCCCCAAAGCAGAATAAAACACACACAGGCACGTGCGCGTGCACACACACACACACACACACACACACACACACACACACAGAGAGCTGATTTATGAGGCAAGAGAGGGCTGGAAGAAACCTGAGATTTATGGATCCCTGATGTGTGGATTTTAATTTCTAGGGGATTCTGATTTTGCTGATCTAATATGCACTTCATGGTGATAGTCATTTGTTAAAGCCTCCTTTGATTTGGTACTCTAATTTAATCTAAGAGACATTAATAAAGTGAAATTAAATATGTCTTAAATTTTGTGAATTTTCCTGTTTGTGCATCAGAAAAGAAGAGTTATCTGGTAAGAATGCAGACCACCTATACCCTCCAAGAGTGAGTCTGTCTACTGTCTTAGGTTGGGCCTCCCAGTGACAAGGATTTCCATGCAGGCAGCTTATGTACAAGGTGCAGAAAACACTGGGAGGAAACAAGGAAGTGTACGAGGAAGAGAGAAGAGACAGTGAAAGACTCGTCACCAAGGAGCTACCAGTGAGGACACCTGGGACCCAAGTCCACATGGAAACACATGGAAAATGCCTCTGGGCTATTCCACCCAAGAGGTGAAGGAGCTGGGGTATGTATACACCTTTCTGTCATCACTGATTGAGGGCTGTCCTAGGGTTGCTCATTCCAGGCCCTGAGCTCTGCCATGTGTGCACACAGAGCTGCCTTCCCAGCTTCAGAGAGAGTAGCAGGGGACATAGCCATGTGGAGTCAACATAAGTACAGTGAAGGGGAAAGGTCCAGGGTAGCAAAAGTGACTGCTACATGCACACAGAATAAAAAATAAAATGTGTATTTCAATCCAGAGCTTTATCTCTCTGAACATGGACCCTGACAGACTGTTTGGTAGCAAGACCCCTTGAAATTCAGGCCCCAGGAGAAGCAGCAGGAAGATTGCACACAGGATGCACCGCCAAGGTCTGGCCACTCTTAGTCCTGCATGAGGAATACTCCCCGCATTCCTGGGGTCTACTCCACTGATGCTGATATAATTAGTTCCACTTTCCCTGATGCTGAACCAGGCTAGGATGCCCCGAACAAAGGCAGCCATGTGAGATACAGGGGTTCAAATCAGTGTCCAAGTTTTATTCTAATTCAAACTATTTCTCCATGTACCTT